GTCATAATTTTTTGTATAGTAGTTGTGACTTATTCACACTATATACATTTGGCTTCCGCAACAGGGTGGGGGGTAACAAAAGAATATAGAACACAGTTACGACTTAGACTTCTATACACAGGTGATTACATTTAGAGCATCTCTATTCGTAAAAAGACGAACAAAAGAAGAAGTAGCAAATTATACATCCTTAAATCAGGATTTCCTGAGGCTAGTACAATACAGAATTAGCAAGTGCTGGAGTAGATGAATCGTACACCATACCCTGGGAGATTAATCAAGGTCAAATGAAGCTCCCAGTACTTTACTTCAGTATACTGCACCAGTAATAAGTTTTTGTTTAGAGATACATATTACGTATGATAAATAAGCAAAAAGTTCGTTTATTCAGGCTTTACTTCCCTTTCCGAGTTCATGGAGTAGTACTTAATATGTTCAAGGTTCATTGATCAGCAGGTCTAGTTGATATATTATCAATCTAATGGACTAATGACTTAGCCATTTTGAACACTGAGTCAATTAGAATATCTGGTGCCCTCATTTTTCTCCTAGACAGGCTTAAGATATTACTGACAGTAGGTTAGCAAGTCTGGAGCTACACATAATTTTCCAAAACTGCGCGTTCTTGCTTGGATCAAACTTTCCTGGCATCTTCTTTCTTAGATTATAATATGCTTAAGCAAATTAAACCAAAAGAAATAGGAGACAGATCCTTTCAGGAACCATTTTTTCTTGTTCTTCTTCTTTGTTTTTTTTCCTTTTGGGAGGGGGGTGGGGGCTGTGTGTTTACTGGTGGAATCACTATACAAGGCCTGATGACTTTCTCTAAGCACAGAAAAGAAGGTATCATAAATCCTAAAGTACTTTGGAGCATAAGTATCATCAAAGAAGGTATCATAAAGCTGAAAAAGAAGAAACAATGTAAAGTAATCTCCGAAGATAGATACTCACTTGTAAAGGTAGGCCACAATTCCTAGAAGGATACAGATAAGTATTATATCGATAAAGAAGTTATTGCTGGACCTTATCTGGAGAAAAATTACAAATGTGCATAGACCTCATAAATATTTGAGTTGGGAAAAAAAAAATTCTGCATTTTGAACTGGGCAGGGGAGGAGGAATTCTAATAAACTTCAGGGTTACCTTGTTAATGTTTTCCTTGAGTCTGACATTATTGCTTTTGATATCGGTGGTTGCCTTATCCACCTGTAAGACAACCGAATTAATTAAGTTGATTCATGAAAAGTTGTTTGTTATAGTAATCCAATAAAAGGAGATTTAAGAAACCAATCTAACCTTTGTGTCAATTTCGTCAAGCAAAGGAACTTGCCTATCCAATTCCTGAAACAAAGTGGAATTAAATGATGATCAAGAAACAGTTTTATTCCTGAGAACAGAATCATGTTTGGGAGGCAAGTCGGAGGACGAGGGAAACCTTGTTCATATCATGAGCCAAATTTTTCAGTGTGTCCAGGCCTTCTGAAATAATATCTAACCCTTCATCCTGTGGAATTCAACATTCGGTTATGTGATGGTTCCATGTAAAACCAACAGAGCAAAAGGAATTAAGGAACTAAAGAATAAGAATTGGCAAGTTACAAGCCTGTTTCATTTTCCGCATCTCATACTCTTCTCTAAAATGAGTGGTCTCTGCAGTTTGCTGGTAGAAACCATCGTCGAACTGTCCATCTAATATAGGTTTTTGACATCATGAGAAACCCAGGAACCAATTGTAACGTAAGCTAAAACACATGATTTATGCCCTGATTATTACCTGAGTCAAATTTAATATTTTTGTTGAATGATGAAGTCCCAAAACCTCCTGTTCTTTTGGCTGCATCTGTACTCCCATCAGGTATTGCCTGAATTCTCTCTGATAGCATAAGCACCAAATCACCACGAGTCTCCAGTTCCTCTTGCGATAGTCCTTTAACCTGTTGGTAATCTAGTTATAACTAACGTTTTCCAAATGGGAAAATTTTCAAACCTTGACCTAAAAGTCCAGTTATTGAACTAGCACCTTGAAATAATTGGATAATGAAAATTCTGCAGTTAAACATTCTTTATACCAAATATGCCTATAATACCACGAACAACTTGATACTCGGGAGTGTTGGAACTTGGAAGCAAGTTTCTTTTTGACAAACTTCATTCCTAAGGAACCATTTTGCTCAACATACTACCTTGCAACTGGAGAACCTATCAACCAATTTCGACCTTATTAAACATAAGAAGAAATGATGGAGTAAAGTCATCTCCAATTCAATCCATATGGCTCAAGATCACATCTGGTATATATACATATATTTCCTTCAATGGTTGCTCAGATCTTGCCTTGGCACAGGCTTTCAAGGGATTATTCTAGAAACCTAGCACATGACTTGAAATAAAGCTCAAAGAACATTTAAAATTGCACGCACATCACATGTTCGAACACAAAACCCTGGTATTTAAGTGGAGAGTATAGGGCCGGCCATTATCCTGCGAGTTTCGAACCGTGCCTCATTGGCCTTGGAGAATTTCTTGGTTATCAAAAAAAAGATATTTACATTAACAATTGATTACGTCAGCTATCTATCCACAATTTTGAAATTTGGATACATCAACACAAATTAATCGAAATATAAAACTTAAGCACGAAAAACTCACAAAGAAAAAGATAATCCAATTGTACATATATTTAAGCACGAAATACACTAAATATGAAAAAAAGAAGTACTACCTTTTTCTGAGCAAGCTTTTGCAATTTTTGTATTCCATCCATTAAACGAGCCTTGGTTCGTCGTACTTCCGCTTTCATAGCCACCGCTTTAGCTCTGTTCGTTTCCATAGCAGCCATTTCTGCTTTCTGTAAAACCGAACAATAAAATAAAAAAAGAGATCAAAACACAAACTACAAAATACGTTTCAATTCAATTTAACTCTAATATCGAGACACGAGAATCACCTGAGAAGTAGCATCAATTTGAGATTCAAAAGACGAATAAAGGCGAGCGAAGGCATCGCTAGAGGAATCATTAGCTGAACGCTGCTTCTCGACGTCGTACTTGTCGTACTTCTTGCATATTGAATCTACTCTAAAGATAATGTCGATTACGCTCATTTTTGGTTCCGATAAACTTTTCCGGTCGCCGGAGAATTTCGGAGAAATAGAAAATGATGGTGGAAAGAGAATAGTTGATTGTTTTCTCTCTCTATTTCTCGCAATATTCTGTGACATTTTTTCACTTTCTTGTTCTCTCTCTGATTTCTCGGAAAAACGCAGATTTCACCGTTGAAATCGGCTCTGCAGCTTGAGAGAAGAATTAATGAACAGAGAGCTGCCATGGCAGTTCGCGGGAGTGATTAATTAGTAGTAACCTTTGGCGCTTAAATTGGATCCTATAGCTTATATCTCGGCTCCCCAAGTGTAATTTCACGATTAATAAAAAAAAATTGCAAGTATGTCATTTTGGGCTACATTCCTGTGTATTTATGTTAAACTAGTGAACTGTCCGCGCGAGCGCGGATGTGAACGACTCGCCGAATTCATGATTTAATTTTTTTTTCATACAAAAATTATGGAAAATGCTAGTATGTTCTTGCAGAAAGAAAAGATAACCTGTAGAGTTGACATAGAGAACTTCATATCTTATTAAAAATCTTTTAAAATTATACAATGATATGATGCATGAAAAGTTAACCCTCATCAATAACTTTCAATGCCTCTGTTGTGGGAAGCAATAACTTTGTGTCTCTGTCTTGGCCCTTTCCATAGTACAATATTTACTGAAATCAACTCTGCCGCCGGAATTGGAACCAGACTATTCTATACATTTCTAATTTTAAGCACAAGCAACACTCAATATTACCAATTTTCACCTATTTCAAGAGCTTAATTTTGTCACGATTTCCTTAGCTTCGATTTTACTGGCTTCCATGATATTTACAGTTTTCCAATTCAAACCAATAAGTGAGTATAGTGTGTAATGGAACCTCTAATTTCTTTTAATATAATCTACTCCAACATGTTAATTTTGACCTTTGGTACACAATGAAGGAAGCTATTCGCATGAAGCTATCAAGTATTAACCAAATCAAAATTCAAAGTATGCTTTAACTTTGATCCAGCTTGCAAATCTGTAAGTAAAAACAATCATGTAACAGATAGTGTGCTGGATCAGTTGACGCCAGTGGAAAAGCCTGTGATGACTATTCATTAATGTAAAACAAATATTTCGTTCTTTTTGGGCAGTCTGGGCAACTTAGATAACTGGAAAACAAATACAGCAAACCCAAAAAAAAATGCCAAAAATAGTAAAAACTGGCGAATTGCTTCAATTAATACGAAAAAAATACACCTGATACGCAAACATATCGCATATGAAATAAAATCGGCAAATATACTGCATGTGTAATTCCACTCAGGCTGACTTCTTTTTTCATATGGACTCAGAGGCTGACTTATTTTTCATTCATAGAATTGAATCTCACAATACATCTTCCTTTCCAAGTAAAAGCATGCGGATTGCATGCGCAAATTACATCTGATACGGAGAATATTGCATATGAAATATAATCGAAAAATATGCCACATGTGTAATGCCACTCAAAGGCTGACTTCTTTTTCATTCATAGAATTGAATCTGACCATGAGCTGCCTTTCCAAGCTCTGCATTATGGGTTCATAGTAAAAAAATATAAAATTCTAGCAATACATATCAAATGACATCTAAACCATATTGTTGGAGCTCGTCTCCACTAAACTGTCTTCAAGATCATGCTCATGAGCCCTCACCATATGAAACATCTGAAACACGCTGAAGAAAGCACTGCACCGAGATTCATATAAATTTAGAAGTATTACTTAGCTACATTAAAATTGATGTACAATAGTCTTGAAATGGCATAATAAAAGGATGGAGAAATTACTAACCTTGCATCAGTTGCAGCATTCAGCTCCATATCCTTTGTATTTTCTTTATCTTACACAATCTACGAACCAAAATAGCAACTGTAAAGAAGATCCAAATAGGACGAACCCTGAAAACATAAAACTTAAAAAAACCTTCCACCATACTACCGCCTGCCTTCTTTTGCTCCCATGCTTTTCTTGTTTTTACTTAAATAACTTCATCCCTCTTCTCACATTCAGCAATTCATGCTCTTCCTGTTTCTACTTAAATAACTTCATCGCTCTTCTCACATTTAGCAGTTCTATTTTTCTGCTTTTTTTCTCTCTCTACAAAATCAGGCCAATACTCTTCCAAGACTTCCCCCTTTACACTTTCTATTTCTTTAACTTCTCCAAAGCTCACATGTAATTTTGAGTTTTCCATCTTAAACCTAATGGGTGCCTTCTTTCCCCTTGTTATTTATCACATCAAACGCCTTCTCGACTTTACTATCAATAATTCAGAATATAAAAATACATGAAAAATCAACCAAACAGATAGATATAAGAAATTCATAAAATAAGAAGGGGAGATTTACCTCTAGCGAGTAGTGGTGCTAAAGTTTCAGCAGTGGTACATTACTTACCAACCTTTATCCTACTCAAACCTTTTCACTTGTGTTAGATCTAGCTAGTTGAACTCAAAAAATTAAACAAAATAAATGTTCTATATCATGAACAAACTGATCCATCCATAAAGATTACTACTTTTCAAAGGACTATTACTTGGGCAAGATAAAAGCAAAACACGCCCATATCAATTCATCGTTGTATACACTGAGTTAGATACTCAATATGATGTCTTACTGAAATAACAGATTTATACCAAATTGGCACACCAATAATCTTTGAATAAATTCAAGAAATAATTAACATACACAATTTTGAATACGAAGCAGTCTTGAAGGTTCAAAAAAACTAACCAGATACCATCAGATATATGCCAAGAAGGTTCTATATACCACCCTTATCTAAAAAAAAGTTTCTACATACCACAACAACCTATGTTGCGCGGACTCTCCAAAATGTAGCCACACTCGTGTCGGATCTTTAAAAAATGCACTACTTCTGGAGGATCCAACACGTATCCGGCCACATTTTCAGAGAGTCTGAGCAACATAGACAACAACAAATATTACAATGAAAATAAAAATAAATTCCAGTAAATTAGAGTGATAGCTCAGATGTTTACCTCAAAAATAGGCTATCTTCAGTATGTGAATAAAAAGACAGCCTGGTGCACTAAGTTCCAGCTATGCCGGGGTTCGGGAAAAGGCCGGACCACAAGTGTCTTCACTATGTGAATGAACTTCACAAATATGTTGGGAAACACTGCAGGTGTTAAAACCAAAAGATCTGAAGCACCTCCTTCAGGTATTTTATTAGTGGGATAGGCATCACCTTTGTTTACACACAAAAAAAGACATTGTTTACCAAAAAAGAATGCTTACTTTGTCGAAGTCGCTGGTTTGATAAGCCTTCTCCATTTCCCTGCCTAATTCCATCAAACGTCAGAACCAATCTCACTCAATTAAATAAGGTAAATTAAAACCTTGTTAATGTCTGGCCTTTCTGCAATATTTTAGGTAACCTCTTTCAGCTAGTAATATAGGGAACATTTGTTATCTATGCATCATTTTGTTTCACCTACTTCCTGTACTTCTTCTCTTTTTCGCTTTTCTAAGGCCTTACCTACGGCTGCACCATTCAAGGAAATAAGAGGGGGGGGGGGGGGGGGGGGGGGTGGCAAAAACTTAGATAAAGATCAGAAGGTGGAAATTCGACCATGCACACACACATTATGGGTCGATGTGATCATCAAAAGAATGGGTCGATGAGATATATTTGGAGTCGGATAGAGAAGATGATTGACCCTGTGACGGAGTTTTCGGGGCCAAAAGTTGGTTTAGAGGAAGCTTTCGTTTGGGAGAATGTTAACGTAATGAACTCTAGCCGGAAGCCCAAATTCAAACCAGCTGATCGAGGCCCATTATAATGTAGCAACATATCTTATCTATGTACCAATATATTAGAGGGCCCAATGTAATTTTCTTATACAAAATGTCTCGGGTCAAGCCCATTGTATAAATAGAGACAATTAGCTTTATTCAGTCAGTTTTTTTGTACATTCTTATTCAATAATGAAAGAAGCTTCCAGATACTCTCTCTCAACTGACCTTCTTCCACCTTGAGACAATGATAAACTTTGTTGGTTTTGATCGATTCTTTGCATATTAACAGTGAATTTAAATGAAAAGAGAAAAGGGGTTTTAAACTAAACATTGCAAAATTAAAATGGAATTGAGGAAGAAAATTCTTCGGAGAACATCGCAGAGCAAATAAATTAGGGTATTACCAGCTGAAGTTGTTCTTCCTAAGTAGAGATATTCAAAGCAAATTGTTTAACGCCAACTTCGTCTCCTCCGCTTTGCATTTTTTAAAATCAAACTACTTAAGATTCCAAACAAACTACCCAAATATTTCTGGATTTCCGGTGACGAGTTCGAGTTCCAGGTGTGCGTCGGAGAAAGAGAGTAGAAGAAATTGTCGAAGAATGTGACTTTTCAATATAGGAAGCGACTGTTCAACAGGGAAAACAACTTTTGGGTATTTCTTTTAAACTATTTGTTTGGTAGGGCATATAAGAATAATGTTAAATAAGGTGCATTAGTAATGCATGTGATAGTAATGCATAGAAATTATTTTTTATGCATTGTTTGGTATGGTGTATTAAAAATTAAAATAAATTGCATAATTTTTAAGAAATTTAATTGTTTACAAAAATGCCCTCCATATTCTTTAACTTAAGAGACTTTAAGAATAATTTTGTCTTTAATCATGTTAATGCATGCATTACTAGCCTTTGTATAGCTAATGCCATGGTTTTCTATACATTACTTATACATAGGATAATACAAAATAGAGTGTATAACTAATGCTTGTATTAGCTATACATAGGTTGAAAAAGTGTACCAAACAAAGCATTACTAATACACAGAGCTAATGCATGCATTATTTTCTCTAACACACTCTACCAAACGGTAAATCCAAATTTTTAAGCGCAAACAAATGAGAAAATAGATAATTACTCATTCCTGTCTTACATAATGCCACATAACCTATCTTAGGTCCCTCAATTATAATTATATATAGATTACAGTTACAATGTATCGTTTTTACAGAATCATCTAATATTTGTGCTAAATCCATAATTTTATTGGAATTTACTTTACATGCCAATGTCATATACTCTAGATTTGTACTTAGTAGGCGTTTGGACATAAGAATTATAAAATTTCGAAAAAAGTAAATTTTTTTTCAACTGAAAATATTATTTAAAATTGGAGTTGTATTTAGACATAAATATAATTTGGGTCGCTTTTTAATTTTTGTGCGTGATCTGAGTGAATTTTGAAAAACAGTTTTTTAGAGTTTTTTAAATTTTTGAAAAATTCTAAAATTTATTTTCAAGTAAAATTTAAAAATTTTATGGCCAAATACCATTTTCAAAAGAAGTGAAAAAATTTTCATGGCCAAGTGTATGTAACTTTTCTCAATCTCCCTTGGTTTGCTTGGGTTGGCAGTGGAATTTGGAGTTTTGTCCTTTTCCCTATCTTATGGTTGTGTTCTCAAAGGTTTCTCCCGTAGCTTGGACTATCAAGGCTTAGACATGCAAATAAGTGGCCTTGACTTTTTTTGTTTCCATGAAACTTTAAACAAAAGCTTTTTACCTAATTCTTGCTTTAAGCGATTACGCTGACCTGAACCGATAGTTTATCGAAAACACTTTCTTTACCTGTACAAAATAGAAATAAGATTTGAATACACACTATTTTTTTTAAATCCCTCTTATTGAATTATACTTAGTTTGTTGTTGTTCATTGATGAATAGACCACGCCCCTCAGTGCCAAGAAATGAATTTATCGTAGAAAGCTTTTTTTACATAAGAGACCTATCTCTGAAATCATATGTCATCGGTATTTAGTAGAGTATCAAATATGTGTCATATGATAATAGTAAGTAAAAATGAAAGACTAACATAGAGTAGTGTTCCATGTGATATTTTTGAGCAGTGATATTGTTTAACCGAAAAATAGATTTTTGGTCAAAGCTTATATTTAAAAGAAAACGGGTTATTGATGACCAAGTTTACTCCACTTCCATGACAAGCTATTTGTAAAATAGTACGTAAAAATTATGGAGAGAATTAACAAAGAGAAATAAGGAATAAATCAATAATCAATCCCTAAAATCAAAGTTGTAAACTTTGATAAAACAGAGAATTATAGAATGTATTTTAGTAGTACTTGGAACTTGTCCTTAAAAATAAAATTCTGTATCCTTATATAGGAGTGTACAATCATAATGATTTTTTCATATAATTTGAATTCATTATGGGCATTAATTGTATTGATTATCCATTACTACAAATAACTGTAACTAGCATATTTATTGATATAAATGCTTTATAATTGCTTCCATTCCCCTTTCTTATTTACTTCTGGTTCATGTATTTTTTCTTTTTTTTGATCCTTATTCATTCCGTTCTCGCCTCTTCTTTGATAACTGTCAGGCCCAATTTTCTTCTATATACTGTCCCGTGGGTGTTTCTCTCGTGCCTTCGTGTTCTTAATTCTATTAATTGAGAATGCCACTTGTCACTATATCACTGCTTCACGCATCATGTTTTGTCAACATACTAACATTCCACGTGTAATGACTTTTACACCAATACAGATAGTCCCCTTACTTTCTGAATATTCGGGAAGTGGTAAACTTTTATGGCGGGAATTCTCCGCCGCCATTTTTCGAGTGTTATCATGTCTCCTTCAGAATCAATTCGACGTACATCACATCCATTTAATGCCCATGCCACATGGCTTCTAACGATTGGATCTGCAGTTTTTCAGTGCTTTTTAGGATTTTTCTACGGCTGCGTCAGTCACGAAACGGTTCCATTATGACGCTTCATAATGACCAACTTTAACAATGGTCGTGTCTCCTTATAAATACTTCATTCTTTTTTGATTTCTTAGAGTCTTCCTTCTTCAGTATCTATCATTTTGTTCCTTTTTTGCCTTTTCTACATCCTTCCTTCTGTATTTCTTTGGACATTCATGTCTTCACCAGACCCTCGCAAGGTTGTGATTGTTGATGAGTTTGTTCCTTCTAATGCTCCTACTATAAGTAGGAGGGGTGGTAGGCTCTGTAGTCTTAGTTCAATATCCAACTGTGGTTCTTATTCCTAGAGTAGTGCTGCTAAGCCATCTTCTTCTAGGCCTAGAGCTCCTTTAACCCCTAGATCTCCTTCTAGGAATAGAGATTTAACTGATCCTGTATGTGAACCTACAGTTGTAAAGATTGTTCCTCAAGAATTTTTTTTGTAACTGATCGTGAAACCATAAGAAATCAAGTTTCTTCTATGGCCTCTCTCAATCCTGCTGACCTTTACCCGAGTTTGATCACTACTGGTGTTTTTTCCCGGGTTCGAAGAGAGGGTCACTGGAAACAAGATTTCCCAGTTTTAGTTCCTGGTGCCAACTAGAGAATTACTTACTATCATGTCGGTTTTTCTTTTGTTTATACTTACCCCTTCACTTTAGGGTTCAAACCTCCTATTTGTTGGAAAAAATTGGATGATTATTGTGACGACCCAAAGGGTCATCACCTGTTTTCTTACCCATTGTGTGCTTCCGAGGGCTTGAAAACCTCATTTACAGTCGTTTCGATTTGCTGCGCAGTCCGGGCGTGTAGCCGGAAAACTTAAACATGAAATTCTGTGAAAAATGATAAGTCTTGACTTTAAAATGAATAAATTTGACTTTGGTCAATATTTTGGGTAAACGTATTCGGACTCGTGATTTGATGGTCCCGGAGGGTCCGTAGGAAAATATGAGACTTGAGCATTTGCCCGGAATCGGAATCCGAGGTCCCTAGCCCGAGAAATGAATTTTTAAGTGAAGTTATTTTCAGAAATTGTTTAAGGAAATTTGATGTGAAAACTGATTAGAAAGCAATGGTATCGGGCCCGTATTTTGGTTCCGGTGCCCGGTACAGGTCTTATATATGACTTGAGTCATTCCTGTGAAATTTGGTTAAAAACGGACGTCGTTTTACGTGATCCGGACCTTAATTGAAAATTTTGATGTTTAAAAGAGTTTTGAGAAATTTTATTGATCTCGAGGTTTAATTTGATGCTCATGATATTATTTTGGTAATTTGAGTACACGAATATGTCCGTAGGATATTTTTGAGGTTGTGTGTATACTTGGCTTGGAGTTTCGAGGGCCCGGGTGAGTTTTAAGTGGGGTCCAGAATGCCTTAGGCTTAGAAAGTCAGATGTTGCAGGTTCAGAAAGTTAAAGTCTCTGAACCCTCTAGTGCGGTCCNCCGTGAGTCTTAAATTGAAAGTTGTTGTGTTCTTAAATGACACTTGGGTGCTTTACTTAATGATATTCTATGATTGATCATTTTCAATAATTGAACTGAGTACAAGTTGAGTTGAGATTGGTTATAGCTGACTCTCCCTTGCCGGGATGACTAATTCAATATTGTTGTTCCCTTGTCGGGAAAATTATAATATTGTTGTGTTCCCTTGCCGGGAAGTTATTATATTATTTATGTTCCCATGGCCGGGATTTCTTGTGATTGTGTGATGAAATGTAAAATGGAGCGGGTGGTATGCCTACCACAAGATATAATAAAATGGGAGCGGGTGGTACGCCTATCATAAGATATAATAAAATGGGAGTGAGTGGTACTCCTACCATGAGATATAATGAAATGGGAGCGGGTGGTACACCTACCACAAGATATAATGAAATGGGAGCGGG